ACAGTTTTGATTCCTTTTGAACTTGCCTACTCCTTTCGCCTGGTTTTCCCACCTCACTGCCTCTACTTTAGAGGATTTAGCTATTTATGGAAGGTGTCAGAGAAATGGTGTCATGCCCAGCCATTTCAGTTGAGGCTCCAAGAGTGTGACCCACCAGGTCCTCCAAGCCCTGAAGGAGCTGAAAAGGGTAGAAAAGAAGCAAGATAGGGGGCTGCAAATTGACACCTCAAGAACAGAGAAATCTAAACAGAATTGCTGGATAGGTGCCAACAAAAAACATTAAAACAAATAATGCTAAGGTAATAAACTGCCTCATTTGTAAACAAAAATATACCTTTACAAGCAGAATGAGTATTCTAACAAATGAACAAATATAGTCTCGTACTTTAGGCAGCGTTATTAAGTTTTCACAGTTTTCATCTGGAAAAATTAAGATGTGTACTCCCTACTCAGAGTATAACCTTCCAAATATTTAGAACTGCTTTATTCATAACTTTACTAGGACTCAAAGAGTATAACCTGCAATATATTTGTGCCTGGAAATAAAGATCTGATTTCTAAACTTACCTGAGCCTGAAAAATAAAAATTTTCTGTTTAGGTCTAATTTAAAAAATCCTGCATCAATGTTATATTTCATAAAATGTTTCTCATTTGTAAAATGTAATAATTTAATTGCCTAAAATGGAGTCTTTAGCAAAGAAAATTCTTGCTTTTTAAAACGTTTTAATTATTAGTTTAGCGGGTAAATGGTTAACTATAATCCTGTTTTATAAAAAGTGAATTTTAGGGAGTAAGAAAATTAGATGGAAAAAAAAATGACACTGTATAAAGAAAAAATATTATATAATAAATTTATCCTGAACAGAATAGTTGTTTAAAAGTAAGAAACAAAATAAAAATTAAAGAAGATTTAAAATGTTTATAGATTGCCTGTACAGGTTAAATAAAACTCATAAAAAGAGTTTTTTATGTAAAAAGTTTTTTATGTAAAAAGTTTACATGTAATCCAGTTGACTATGTATTTCCTTCAAAATATTTTAGTTGTAATTCTGTTTAAACAAATGTTTTAAACCTTTAATATTTAACAAAACTTCCAAAGTAAAAACTCTAAATTCAGCTTGGCGCCTATAGCTCAACC